CTGCTGTTAATGGTTTTCTGTGTGTCTCTTTCTAGACCCTTTCCATGTACTTACATTGATATGTAGATTATACACGTATTTTGATCTTTCTTTTTTAAATATTTACATCTATAATTAGTCATTATCTTGATCATTATCTATATTTTCTCAGTACCTCTTGAAAGCTGTATACTTTTGCTTGGCTCCACTTTCCCTGCCTGCCACCTTGTATGTTGGTATAAATTGGAACTTTGCCCTGGACGTGTGTGTGTGTGTGTGTGTGTGTGTGTGTGTGTGTGTGTGTGTATCTGTTTTACATCTTTTATCAAGAATTACTTGGGATTAACTGAAGACTTACATGTTTTAATTGATGTGCTGGTTATCAGCCACTTCTTGATTTTCACATCCCCATGTGTGTTTGAGTGTGTGGATGTGTGTTTTAATTCCTTCTACTCCGCACTTGCTGGAGCTTTTACAATCTGAAGACTCATGTTATTTTCAACATAGGAAAATTTTGTTTACTATGTTTTTTACTGTTTTCTTCCATTCATTTTCTCTCTTCTTTCTTTCTAGAACTTCTAGTCAATACATGCTGGGCTTTCTGAATCAATTATCCAAACCTTTTGTCTTTCTTACACATTTCCCAGCTTTTTCTCCCTCTATGTTCTTAAAAATCTTCTCAATTTTATCTTCTGATCATTTATTTTGTGTTTAGGCTTGTCTATTCTATCATTTATTATATTTAACAAATGCCCCCAGTTCCTTACTTCCAATGAAGGTTCTAACCTTCCTTTTTAAGAATTTTTAAGAAAAAAAATCTTAATTCCCAAGGGTTCTTTATTATTTTCTAAAGTTTCCTTTTCATACCTGCTGCTTTCTATTATGGATGCAATATTATAGTGGATCTTTCTGAGGATATTATATATTTTAAAACAATGTTTCTTCTCTTTGTTGAATTAATTCCTCTAGGATTAGTTGTCTTATTCTTTATCTTATTACTTCTTCTTATCAATGGATTTCCTCCAATGTCTGTGTTTCTTGGTTGCTTCTTTCTAGTAATGACTGGAAGTAGAGGTAGTTGTAGATAACTGGGTGAGTTTCTTTGTGACTACATCCATCTGTGCCTGTAACGGCACTCCCCCAAGTGTGAGAGCTAATTTCAGGCTCTGTTTAAGAAAGCAGGGTATGTCAATTGATGCATCTCGTTTTCGGATGCATGAATAGCAGGCAAGCAGCCTGGGGGCCTCCTAACGCTGCCCCAATGGCTTTCTTACGAGGGCTTTCTTAACCCTGGTGAGGTAGAAGGTCAGCTTGTGTTCCTCCTAAGTAGAGCCACCTTTTTCTTCCCCCAATGCTCTCAAGAAGGTCTGAAAGTCCAGAGTTATCAAAGCACAATTCTTATTCTCGCTCAGATTCTGGGCCCACCCAGGAGCCCTTCTTAGGCATGGGTTCCCTTTCTTTCGAGTACAGGCATTGATTGCATTCTGGAGTCAAACACCATTGCTGCCAAACATCACTGCTCATTATAAGCGGTAACAGGATGCTATAAACACAGGTGGATTCAGTATCAGTTACATATTGCTATGACAATGCTATGTGACAAATAGCCACAAAAACCTTGATGGCTCCATCACATGCTCGGGTGCTGCCTGGCTGTTGGCTGAGATGACTGGAGTGACGTTGCCCTTTTCCATTGTTCCTATACCCCAGAAGGCTGGTTTGTACATTCATGGCAATGCCAGAGTTTCAAGAATAGCAAATGGAAATACGCAACAAAGGAAAGTCCCTAAGCCCTAGGCTCAGAACTGATCCATTGTCGCTTCTGCCTCATTTTATTGGGCAAAGCCAATCAAGAGGCCAGTCCAGACTCAAGGGGCGGGGTAACAGGCACCACTTCTGTGGTGAGAGGAGCTGCAAAGTCTCATGGCAAAGGGCACGAATATAGGGAGGGGCGAGGAATTTGGGTCATAAAGCAATCAGGCCATCAGAGACACCTCATGCTCTTCAATGAATTTGCTGTGAGGTCAGTTCTCTGAATGTATTCCTACTTCTAAAGGTTTTTTTCTTTTTTCACCTGAGCACTCCATGGTCCCTGTTCATCTTCATTGTTTCTCAGTTCAATTCTATTTGCTGTAGTCTGCCAGGAAACTGCCAGGATTTGGGGGTCTCTGATAGTATTATTTCTTGTTTCCTGGTACTGTTACGGATGTATTCTTTAAGAAATATATGTCTTCGCTGACATTTTAAGGGATTATAGCAAGAGGGGAAGTAGGTTTGTGTGCTCCTTTTGGTGCTCTGATTCAATCGCCTCTG